TTGCATGGAGGGGATTGTAACCATGGCAATGAGATGATATACGATAGAATGAATGTAAAACTAATGTTCTCCCATGTATACTATCACATAATTCACAATAAATCATTTAAGAAAAAAAAACACCCTATGGAGCACATGGGGTTGCCATGAGTTAGAAATGATGACAACTGGTTACGGGTTATACATGTGTACACACATACACATAATATCTGTCTGAATATCATGCACAAATAGTAGTATGCTGTAATACTATTTTTCTTTCTTTTCTCAGTACGTATAGAGATTTAAAAAAAATTTGTATACGTGCCTACGATACAATGTCTGATGTCTGCCATATTTTATGGTATTACACACATGGTAATATACAAACTGTACTAGTTTCCTAGGGCTGCTCTGACAAAATATCAACTAACTGGGTGACTACAAACAATGGAAATGTATTGTTTCACATTTTTGGAAGCTTGTTATGTGCCACTGAGTCAATCCTGACTCCCAGTGACTCTATATGACAGATTAGATAACTAGCTCATAGGATTTCATAGGCTATGATCTTTACAGAAGCAGATTGTTAGGTCTTTTCTTCTGCAGAACAGCTAGTGGTTTCGACTGCTGACCTTCCAGTTAGCAGCTGAGCACTTAACCACTGTGCCACCAGGGATCCTATTTTGGAGACTAGAAGTCTGAAATTGAAGTGTTGGTAAGACCATGCTTCCTCCCAAGGCTTTAGGAAAGTATCCTTCCCTGGCCTCTTCTAGCTTCTGGTATTTGCCAGCCATTCTTGGCTTAAAGATGCATCACTCCAGTTTCTGCCTATACTGTCTTCCTCTGTCTGTATGTCTTATTACAAGGACACCAGTCACATTGGATTGGGGCCTACCCTATTGCAGTGTGAGTTCACTTTAACTTAATTGCATCTACAAAGACCCTATTTCCAAATAAGATAATATTCACAAGTACTGGGGGCTGGGACTGGAACATATCATTTTGAAGAGACACAATTTGCAACAGTATGGATGTGCTATAGCTAACCAGTATGCTATTTCGGGGCTTTTACTCTTGGTAATTTAAAATAATGGTGCAATGAATATTTCTGTACATAGGACTTTCCCCACATGTGTAAGTACTGTATGTTTGCAACTAACATGCACATGCATATAATGCACACAGGAAGCTAATGTAAAAACCATGTGTTATTTGCATAAAAATATGGTATATCTGTAGGATAAATTCTCAGATCTTGAATAACTGATCAAAGGATATGGAAGTTTATAGTTTTCACAGCTGTTTTTGTAAATTATGCTTTAAAAAGCTGAAGGAATTTTTATGCCCAGTATTAAATACACATGATCATCTGTATTTCTACAAAGTTTCCAGGTTATTCTTGGGTAGCTGAGGTTGAGACCCAACTCTTGCTCTTGACTTGATAAAACTTAAGTTTCTTAGCTTCTCCTAGGCCATAGCCTGTCCCTTGACTAACATTTCTTTCCCATCCTGGTTAGGACACGGAGTTGCAGAGGAAGCTAGACCATGAAATCCGGATGAGGGAAGGGGCCTGCAAGCTGTTGGCAGCTTGTTCCCAGCGAGAGCAGGCTCTGGAGGCCACCAAGAGCCTGCTGGTCTGCAACAGCCGCATCCTGAGCTACATGGGTGAGCTGCAACGACGCAAGGAGGCGCAGGTGCTGGGGAAGACAGCAGGGAGGTAAGCAAGGGGAATGACTCAAAGGGAGCCAGAGGCCTCTGGATAGTAACAGTGCATTGTGGGTGTATGTGGAGTGTGGATCACCCTGAAGGTGACCTCTCCATGAAGCCTTGTCAATGGCCTGGAAGGCACTTTAGGTGTTTACCCATGCAGCGTGCTGGACTCAGGAAAGCTTGTGCCTCTGGAGAAAAGCTGGCAGTCTCAGGAGTAGTAATTTAAAAGCACTAATTCACTAAGTCCTGCCTATGATTGGATGAGTCTGGCTTGCTAGTTTCTGAAAGCTAATTTTCTCAAAGCCAGTTCACCAAATGGCCAATTAGCTGAATGGCCCATTTACCACAAACTAACAATAGTGTGTTGTAACTGGGGTTCACTGCCAGAAGCAGGGACTGGGTAAGGACATAATAAAAATTCATTCACATGGAGCTCTGGTAGTTACGAATTGGGCTGTGAACCGCAAGGTCAGCAGTTCGAAACCACCAGCTGTTCCATGGGAGAAAGATGAGGTGGTCTGCTCCCGTAAAGATTTACAGCCTCGGAAACCCTGTACAGGATAGCTATGAGTCGGAACCGACTCCACGGCACATAACCAACCAACCAACCCATTCACATGCATTAGACCATGCATTCTAAAAGGTATCAGCTGTGGATATGAAACACATGCTACAAACCATAATACTCCACTGATAGGACAAATTCACCATGAAATGGTTGAGGTGACATTGTGGTAAAACTGAAAGGCTGGAGAAATATCTTCAATAATTTTGTAAACTGATCTTCCTCAGAATTGACCATTTTTGGTCAACTGGTCACTTGGAAAATTGGCTTCTGGTAAAGTAGTCTGCTTGGTCCCACGGGGCTGTGGGGAGAAGACCCCAGCCCTTCATTTGCATGATGCCCTTCCAGCTTAATCAAATGAGGGCTGACACAAGGGAAGTAGCTGGGAACTCTCAAAGGCTCACCCACTGAAAGTAGGAAACCTACTCTACAGCTGCCCCATGAAGCGAGAGGAAGCAAGCAGGCAGGGACAGCTTCTTCTGTGAACTTGCCATTTCTTGAGAGGTGGCCATTGGCAGGTTCTGCCTTTCCCAGAGCTATTACCCAGGTTTTCACATGATGGCCTAGGCCGTGTGATTTTAGGTATTCCAAACACACTGCCATTAGTGCCACATCATTTCACTTACATGAAATAAGCTGAAGAGGAAGGGGCACAGGCTTGGTGAGTACTGAGAGTGGAGATGGGGAGGGAGGGGAGGAAGCCCCTGCCCTGGGAAGTTTGGAACACTGTGAAGGCTCAGTATATCTGGCTGGGAGGGATAGGGGTAAATGATGAATCAGAGTCTGGGATGAGGTGGGGCAAGGGTTTGTAGTGAATAGAACATAGAGATTCTCTACTTGCTCCTTCCCCACACCTCCCCAACATGCCCATCAAACACTGGTCAATTTTTCTGACTGACTGGTACCATTCTACATAAAAGAAATGATGAGCAGCCTCCCTCATTGTCATAAAAGCAAAAACTTTCAAGCCCCTCCAAAGTGTGGGGGCTTAATGGAGAAGAGCCTTTGAAAAGGAGTCTCTCTGTAGGTACCTGTTCCCTCAGAGCCCCACTTGTCCCTGGCAGGGATCTGGGAAAGTTGCCCAGAAGGGACCTGATGTGGCTCTGGTGTCCCCAAGTCCAAGAACCCTTGCCCAGTTCCTGAGCTTGCCATATCTGCACTGGGGGTGGGGAGCGGCCAGAGGGGATCCTAGAGCCCTTGGGAACTAAAGTGAGGTGAAGCAGGCTCTAGAGGCCAGGCCAAGACATTGTGATTTACCCACAGGCCTTCTGACAGCCAGCCACCAGCCAACCGCTCCCCTTGCCATGGCCAGGTCTGCATCTCTGGTAAGAACAACTGCTCCCCCTGCTGGCTTGCTTTGCCCAACCTCTTGACATCCTTAGCGTTAAGTGCTATCAAGTTGGTTCCAACTCATAATGACCCTATCTGTATAGGATTCCTGAGAGTCCCAGTATGGCACCTTGGGCTAATGTGCTGGACTGCAAAGTCAGTTTGAACCACAAGGTCGGCAGTTCAAGCTCACCAGCTGCTTCTTGGAAGACCTAAACAGGGTCACTATGGGTCAGAACTGACTCGCCAGCACTTCACAACAACAGTAAGTTTTCTGAGGAGTGACTAGTGGTTCTGAACTGCTGACCTTGTGGTTAGTTGCTGTTTTTGTTGTTATGTGCTGTGGAGTCAGTTCCTACTCATAGTGACCCTGTACAGGGTTTCCGAGGCTATAAATCTTCACAGGAGCAGAAAGCCTCATCTTTCTCCTGCAGAGCAGCTGATAGTTTCAAACTGCTGACCCTGAGGTTCGCAGCCTGATTTGTAACTACTATGCTACCAGAGCTCCTTTTGCAGTTAGTAGTACAGTGCTTACCCTACAGTGCCACACCAGGACTCCGTATGACATCCTGTTCTGTCTCAACATCTATTCCTATCTCTCTGGCCCTTAGATCTCCGGATTCCACTCATGTGGAAGGACACAGAATATTTCAAGAATAAAGGCGGTGAGTTCCACACATCCTAGGACAAATTCAGGGAGTAACTGATGGATGCCCTTTTGGGGCGGATTTTTACCAGTTTTGCCTGCTTTGCCCCAGACCTGCACCGCTGGGCTGTGTTCTTGCTGCTGCAGCTAGGGGAACACATTCAAGACACAGAGATGATCCTGGTGGATAGGACCCTCACAGATATCTCCTTTCAGAACAGCATACTCTTGTGAGTACCTCATCCCTGGTGCTCCCTCCTGTCTCCATTCTGCCCCAATTCTTGGGTGAGGTAGGAGCCTAGCCTTCCCTGTGGAGCTACTCTGTGTTTGCACCACCCCTCACCCCAAGTTTCCCATGACTTACTCATGGCCATTCTTTCCTCTCTAACTCTGATAGTGCTGATGTGAGGCCAGACTTTGAGCTGCGGCTGGAGCTGTATGGGGCCTGTGTAGAAGAAGAGGGGGCCCTGACTGGTGCTCCCAAGAGGCTGGCTACCAAACTGAGCAGCTCCCTGGGCCGCTCCTCAGGAAGGCGTGTCCGGGCATCGCTGGACAGTGCTGGGGGCTCAGGGAGCAGTCCCATCATGCTCCCTACCCTGGCTGTGGGGTAAGGGCCTGCCCTCCTGCTTCTCTCTTGGCTTTCCGTACCTTGGCCATAGGTGACCTTTGAACTGTGTTGAGCGTGTGGAACCAATTTTGCACTGCTAAATTGGGCATGAAGGCAGATGCAAATGAGCAGTGGCTACACAGCTGTGTAGCACTCTGGCCCATACTCTAGAGCCAGGTCCAAACCAGTTAAGAAGACAAGGGAGTCAGGGAGAGTTAGACTGTGGGGTCTAAACTTTCAGTAGTAGCAAATACATCTTCTGTGGTTAGATCAGAGCTCCTTTGTTAGAAGAGGCTAGCGTAGGGTTATGGTGGTTCCTATAGCCACGTAGAGCCATCCCATGGAAGTTCAGGGGCTCTGAGGAGCAATTTGAGAACTTCTACTGCTCCTTGGAAAACCCTATATACCGTTGCTATGGGTCAGAACTGACTTGACGGCACTTAACAACAATAAGGGTAATGAACATGGAGTCCTGGTGTGGTGCTGTACGATAAGCACTGGACTGCTGATGAAAGGTCGGCAGTTCAAACCCACCAGCTGCTCCTTGGAAACTCTATACAGGGTCCCTGTGACTCAAAATGAATTTGAAGGCACTTCGGAAACCCTGTACAGGGTCGCTATGGGTCAGACCCGACTCGACGGCACTTAACAACAACAACAACAACAACAATAACAATAAGGAGACAGAAGTGGGTTCAGATTCTAGCTTTGCCGTGTACCAGCTATAAATTGATGGGTAAATTTCTTAAATTCAAGTTACCTTATCTAGTAACTAAAGAATGCTAGCAACTTCACAGGAGTGCCATGGGGAAACAGAGGAATAACAAATGCAAAACCTAAGACTTGATACTTGGAGGGGCTTAATAAATGTTTGTTCCTCACTCCTGGGGAGGCAAGCTAGGGCTGCAGTTTTTCGTAGGGAAACCTAAATGATGGGACAGACCTGTTTAGTCCTTGCTGCTCTCCCACTAAACACAGCCCTCATGTGCACACTCTTTCTCCCCACAGTGGTCCCCGTTACCACCTCTTGGCTCACACCACACTTACCCTGGCAGCAGTACAAGATGGGTTCCGCACACATGACCTTACCCTCACCAGCCATGGTTAGTACTGAGGTGGGCCACTGGGTGGCAAGAAGAGGGGTGGGCCATCTAGGTGGTTCCCTTTTCACTCCTCACCCTTCCCTTACCATTCCTTCTCCCCTAGAGGAGAACCCTGCCTGGCTGCCTCTTTATGGTAGCGTGTGTTGCCGTTTGGTGGCCCAGCCTCTCTGCATGACTCAACCCACTGCAAGTGGTACCCTGAGGGTGCAGGTGAGGGGGTCCTGAGGAGTGGATGGGCAAAGGGAGAAGGCAGACCATTTAGGAATAGGAAGACTTTTGAGAAATCAAGATCTGGGTGGGCCAGATGAGAGAGTACAGGGCAGGAGGGGGGCTAGAAAGGAGTATCTTGGTGGGGGACTTCGAGGGTGTGACTCCCCTAGAAGACCTAGAGTTCTTTATGCAGCAAGCTGGGGAGCCACAGAGCTGGGCGCGAGTGCACGGAGTCCTGAAAGGCACAAACCTGTTCTGTTACCGGTGCCCGGAGGACGCAGACACTGGGGAAGAGCCGTTGTTAACTATTGTGATCAACAAGGTAATGCATTCCCTGGTGGTGAGGCACCAGGTACCGGTGCCCAGAAGCCTCTCCTTTAGGCCCTTGGAGGATGGGTGCACACATCAGAAATAAAAGCTGGCTTCCTACTCCTAACCACACTCAGCATCAGGACCAAGAAGGCTAAGGAGGCCACGCTCTGCCCCACCAGCATCACTAGAAAAGGATTGTTCCAGTCACCTACCAGTCTCAGTCCTTGCCAAGTCTCAGAGAGTTCTAGAACCAGTTAGGATTTTTTGTCCTCCTCCTCCTCTTTCCCTTCAGATTCAAATCTGCATCTACAGGTCCAACAGCCTCTTTTCTTCCCAGCCCTTTTGCTGGCCTTCCTATCTAATTTTATGCATATGTTGAGGGGCCTTAGGTCTCAGCATTCTTGTCATCCTCAGTGTCCTGCCTTATTCAGTCCTCTTTCCCTGACTTAGGATTGGTCATCTCATCCTCAGCCCTTTCCTCCCATTCCTTCTGCTCTTGTCAGTAGCTGGCTAATGAGGGCCCATCTAAGGACCCCACAGCACCTCCTCCTAAGGCAGGAATGATCACGTTTGCCTGGTGTCAGTGCTGAAGTCTATGACCAAGATGTGGTTGCAAACAGACCCTTTCTCCTACAGGAGACTCGAGTCCGGGCAGGGGATTTGGACCAGGCCCCAGGGCGGCCCTATACCCTGAGCATCAGTAACCAATATGGGGATGATGAGGTGATGCACACTCTTCAGACAGAGAGCCGGGGAGCCCTGCAGAGTTGGATGGAGGCACTGTGGCAGCTCTTCTTTGACATGAGTAAGAGAGGAGAGGACTGCACATGGATGGGCAGGGCTGGTTTGAACCTTTGTAGGATCTAGGGAAGGAATGAGGTTTGTTATTTTTTACCAAAGGCTTCAAATTTAAGAATGTGTGGAAGGGGAAGGGGGTATAGCAGAAGGGAGCCAATCTAGCAGTTCTCTTCCTGGCCCCCATCCATATTCTTGCTCCAGGCCAGTGGAAGCAGTGCTGTGATGAAATCATGAAAATTGAAACCCCTGCGCCTCGGAAACCACCTCAAACACTGGCTAAACAGGGGTCCTTGTACCATGAGATGGGTGAGTGAAAAAGGCCACACCCTGAAATAGAGGGGCCTGATGGGAAGTTGGACAGGAGGGCTTCAAGGGGACCCAGATAATGGAAAGAGAGAAAGCAAAAACACACTTTTGGCTAAGACCAAGCTCTGGGGACACAGTCCCATTCAGTGCCCTGTTGTATTCCTTTCCTTTCTTCTCAAAACCATCTCCATCAAAGTTCAAAACAAACCCCCAAAGAACCAGATTCATTTCATGGGTTTCTTTCCTAACTCCTTCTTTTCTGTTTCCCTTTCTGCATGCGGATTCCTGTTTCTTCCTCTGACCACTCACTTGCCTGGCACCGCCTTCATTTTTCTCCTCTTTCTTGGTTTCTTTGTCCACTTCTGCACCTCCCCATCCCTGTCCAACTGCACCCCATATACCAGTCTTATCAGAGCCTGTGGCCACAGGGGGCCCAGGTGAGGGGCTGCTTCTGCAGGATAACGTGATCTCAGCTGAGATCCGGGCTCTGCTTTCTCCTTATTACAGTGAGAGGTGATGGTCCGGGCTGGGTAGGCCTGGTGCCTGAGCTCTGACTAGCCCCCTCCCCTCAACCCCTTCCTGGTGCCACAGCTATTGAACCGCTGGATGACATCGCAGCGGTGACAGACATCCTGGCCCAACGGGAGGGCCCAAGGCTGGAGACACCCCCACCCTGGCTAGCAATGTTTACAGATCAGCCTGCCCTACCTAGCCCCTGCTTACCTGCTTCAGTGGCCCCAGCCCCAGCCCGGGCCCACCCCTTGCCCTGGGGGCGACCCCGAACCTTCTCCCTGGATGCTGTCCCCCCAGACCACTCCCCGGGGGTTTCCCGCTCCGTAGCCCCTCTCCCCTCACAGCGATCTCCACAGTCCAGAGGCCTCCGCAGCAAAAGCCCATCCCAAACTTGGCTTCAGTCACCAGTATGAGAGAGAAAAGCGCTGACCACAGGATACAGTCAGAAGAGGAAATGACCTTTGCGCAATCAGGCTCATGGTACAGCACTGTTTATAGTAGACTAACCAGGCTGGCTTCTCCCTCAGTCCTCTGCTGGACTGGGGGTAGGCTGAGGAGGGGAGCCAGAAGCCCCTCTCCAGCTGTGGCCACCATGGTGCTGAGGGACTCATTCTCAGGGCTTGTTGGACCCCTAAACCCTTCCTGGGTGAAAACTGGAACCCCCCTGCCTACCTCCATGCATCCTTTGAGGATGGCACTGAAGAGTCCTAGAAGGGCATACCCCTCCCCTGGGACTCCCACATCCACCATTAAAAGTTATTTAACAGCAACCTTCTCCTGGTTTTTTTATGTAGACCTCTCCTCCCCACCCACCCCCACCCACCCCACCCCCTCCAGTTGCATGCCTCTGTTGGGAAGCGGGTCTGTGATACTGAGTAATCAGACAAGGCTGGGGCATAAGTTCTTTATAAACACCATAGGGAGAAGAGAGGGCGGCTTTTCTCTCACACACTTTTGAATCTCAGGATCTCAGCGAGGTCATAGCCAGTCACAGCAAAGGAGTTGCCTGAGGGCTCACAGAATCGGGCCCCACACACCTGGGTGTCGGGGATACACTCACCGTGACAGTGCTCCACCTGGGGAGAAGGGGGCT